CAAATGAATGGGTAAAGCAAAGAGGGCAGTTGCAGAGATTTAGGTACTAAAATTGAGTGATAAAAGTACTAAAAACATGCAGCCAAGTCACACCAATGATGTTTAAAGCCTTAAAACAACAAACTAGTGCGCAGCCAAGTCACACCAATGATGTTTAAAGCCTTAAAACAACAAACTAGTGCAAGGATTTACACTACAACTACACAAAACAAAGTTCAAAGGCTAACCCAAAACAGAGCTAAAGCAGGCTATTTCAAAGGCTAAAACATGCTGGACTTAAGCTAAGTTAAGTTGGAAAAACATGCTAACATGTAAAGCTAACTAAGCATGAAAACAAGACACAAGGAGGGGAGGCTAGCCCTTCCAATTTTGGACTTCAAAATGAGATTTTTGCCACTAAAAAACCTCTGAAATTCAGTGGTTAAAAGGTCCAAAAAGGTTGGTTTGAAAGTGATGGATAAAGGCACAAAAGCTTTATAAACTAAGAAGCAAGAAGGATGAACCACCCCCTAACTGAAAAAGGGCTCAAGCCACCAAATTTAAGCCACAAAAACGGAGCTTTTTACAGTTCAAAACCAACCCTAAAATCAATTGAAAAAAAATAGAAAAACAAGTATTGAAAACAAGATAACAAGACTAGTATTCTACCTCTTGAAGCAAAGAACACTTTAGGCACAAGTTCAAGCCAAAACCACCTTCAAGAGCTCCAAAAAGGCCCCAAGGAACCTCAGCTCCAAGGTGAGAAAATTTGGTTTAGGAGAAGTAGGCAAAAGTGTAGAGAAACTAGGCAAACACACACAATTACAAGAGAGAGAGAGATAAATCTAGAGAGAGAGAGAGAGAGGGGTCCTATATATAGAAAACACAAATTTCCCTCACAAATAACCAGCCATATATGTGCAGGAAGATGCATGAATCTGTGCAAACAGCTGGCACAAAATATCACAAAATATCGGCAGCATACAATAGTGGCCGACTGACCATCAGTGGTGGTCGACAAGGCTTCATTGATGGCAGGAAATGCACATCAATGGCCAGCAAAGGAGAAGTGGTGGCCGGCAGCCTCCAAGGATGGCCGGCAGGCCATCAAAAACTTCAGGCTGAAAAGACTCAGGCATGGTTCAAAGATGAGAATAGATGCAGGATTTGAAATGCTCAAAGCTATGGCATTCCGCTAAAGAACATCCAAGTCTTAAAAGGTCGTCAAAAATGGGATGTCTACGCTATGTTTGACTGTAAGTGTTTTCTGAATGAAATGATATGATAAGCTTTGTTTTCTGAAATGATATTTGTTGTATAGATGAATGATTGTCCTATTTCTGAAATGTATTGTGGCATCCTTAGCATCATGTGATATGTTATATGTTACCTGGTACCAGGGTTTTAAGTGGGTTCCATTCATGGAACTAATTATGTATAATTAACTATATGATCTGCAAGTGGGTCTTTTTGACCATCTCATGTGAATATAGGTCTTAATGACTATCTGCTCTATATATGGGTCTTTATGACCAATCTGATCTGTTAGCGCTAATGGATGTACCACGCATGACTGTTTGCAAATCTAAATATGTATAAGAATCTGTTTCTGATTTCTAAATCTTTTTGGACATCATTCATCAAAACCTTTACTCTGTTGTTATTCACTAGGCTCAACTCACTGTATTATTTATGTATGTAGGTGATCAGACACGTGACCAGGCTTAGAGCTTTTGCTTGGATTTTGTCTTGTCAGCCAACCTATGTGCTTCTTGTAGAGATTCCAGATATGTCAAATAGTCATGGCTATGTGATTAAAGTTTAATTTTTTGTTTATTCTGTAATTAGGGTGAAGTCCCTTTTTGTCTTATCCGTATAAGGTGACGTATGGGTGATGTATGATAAATGTATATAAAGTTTAAATTTTTTTTGTCTCATATATGTCTGCGCAGCTTAATAGACATTGTATATTTGTTATTTGCTTTCGCTAGCCCCTATTAAATTGTTTTCTATTTAAGAGGCCTTCAATAATCTACAGATTACTGACCAATTACGATGCTAAACCTATAGGGACGGGTTTGGGTCGTGACAAAAAGTGTCACTTTAGATATGGTAATTGTTATTATAATTTTTTTTTCCCCTTAAAATGTATTGCCATAATTACAATGTAATATTATTTGAAAATAATTCTTTTTTGTATTATTTGCAAATAATTCTTTAATTTGGAAAAGGAAACCCTTAACCTAAATCTTTCCATATCAATCTTAACTTAAAATACAATTTTGAAGTTTTTCCCATATTAGTCTTTGGAAATAATATAATTAAAATAAATTTGTAAAGTCATTATTATCTTTCCATATTAATCTTAATTTAAAATACAATTTTGAAAATCTTTCCATATTAGTCTTTGAAAATAATATAATTAAAATAAATTTGTAAAGTCATTATTAATGGATTAATTTAAAATTAATTTTATTTTCAAATTAACTTTTGTTGGTGTAGGGTTTCCTTTTCCAAATTAAGAATTATTTACAAATAATACAAAAAAATAATTATTTTCAAATAATATTACATTGCAATTACGGTAACATAATTTTAGATAGATTTTTAAAATTGTATTTTAAATTCTTGCGTAGAAAGTAAATATGTAACAAAAATTGTTAAAAATTATTTATTTATTTATAGTAAAAATACACTTATTAGATTTGTTTGGTTTAATTTTTTTCAATTGTTTGAGTTTTTTTTTTTTTTTTAATTTTATTTTAATATTTCAGTCAAATACACATACAAACTAAGATATTTTTGAAAAAAAATTGAGTCATTTTTTTTTTGTTTTTATTTTTGACCTTTTCAATTTTAGTGATTTTTTTCATTTTTTTCACTAATTTTATTTTTTACGTGCATTTAGATGAAGTATATCTAAAAATTAAAAAAAAAAATTAGTGAAACATGAAAAAAACTTTACTGAAAATAAAAAAGCATGAAATATAAATTAAAAAAACTCAAAAAATGTATTTGAGTTAAAAAATATTATGACTTTGCCATCTTTTTCTCTGTCGCTAAATTAAATTATATTTATTAATGAACTTAGTTATACTTTTTTTTATAAAATAAATAAATAAATCAAATATATGAATTTAGAAAATGCATGTGTAATGTGATTACTGATTAATTATAGATATTTAATCAAACTAAACAATACATGTATGAGTTCAAAAAATACATATGTAATGAGATTACTGTAAATACATGACTTACAGATATTTACGTGTACTCAATGAAATTGGTTGGTAATTTTTTCAAATTAAAATCCAACTACAATTAAAATTTATTAAGATTTGGCAATAACCTCAGGCTGAAATGTGCTTATAGGTAACTATCACTACTACTCAGACTTGGAGATAGATTATTTTAACTTAAAAGTCAAAAGGCTATTACAAATTATCACATTACACTCTCTATTTCTTTACATGCCTTTTAGTTAAAAATTAGCTAAAATAATCAATTTCCAAATCACCCCTCAAATTAAGCTTTATTGTTGATCATGTATACTAACAACTAGTTGTGTTAAAAAAAAGAAGAAGTTAATTACTAGCACTCCTCTACTTATATTGTAATTTTACTTTGGTTCTTTTACTTTGAGTTGTGATAGTCAACTCTTTATACTTTTAAGTCAAATTGTAATGTCACACATTTTAAGTCAAGTTGTAATGTTACCATTTTGTCCTTTTTTCATAGTGAGATTGTAGAAAATTAAAAGTGAAGAGATCAAAATGAGATTTTAGTGGAATTGTGATAACTAAATTAAAATTTTAATGAAAATGTAAGGGCCCAAATGAGACAAATTTTTTTTTTATTTTATATGTTTGGTTTACATGACAAGTTTCATTAGCTATATTAACAGTAGATGGACGAAAGGGGTGACATTACGACTTAATTATAGTGTAGAAGGTTAATTAAGTGAAGGCCGAACTTGGTGTCAAAGCCTTCTCCTCATGTCGTGTGGCAAATTTAAGTTATCTTTTGTATCTATCTATCTTTTTTTACCTAGAAAAACTAGTATTAAGTGAAGGCTGGCCATAGTGTCCAAATTTTCTCCTTATGCCATGTGGCAAATTTAAGTTATATAAAGAGGTAATCAAGGTTTGAATCCCAAACATTCGGTTTCATTAAGAAATCTCTCATCACCTTAGCAAAATACATATTATAATATTAATTTCTTTATTATATATTTTTATTTTCTTATTTGAATTACATAAGTATCGCGTCCAAGACGCCCCCATCAATTCTATTGATTATTGAGAGAATTACAAATTAGTTTTCATCTTTCAAAAATAATTACTGATTTATGAAAAATTTTATGACTTTGATTTATTAAAATTTGTAAGATTTATTATTAATTTAATTTTTTTTAGAAAAATACACAGTTGGTATTTCCCCTCGATTATTTTGAAGATGTCTCTAAATCAGAGGTTCTTCAAACCCCATAAGAGATAGATGGGCCGGCCCAGTTACAAAGTTTTTCACTTCACCAAAAAATACATCAAGGAGACCCAGCCGAGGCCCATCCTGAAAAAAGCCAATCAATGTACGCTCTAAATTTAAGAACGTGCTACGGCTCCGCGCCACACGGCGCTGAAAAGTCAAGTCCGACACGTGGCGGAGACCTCACTACTTTTCACATTTATACTCCCCTCTCCTAAAACCATACTCGAGCTCACTTCGCGACGCGTGTCACCAACTTGTTCTGATGCCAGCGTGTCATGATTTCAAAGCGAGTATACGTGTTTTTACATACTGATCGATTTCTTCTCTTAGTTTTTTAATTATGGGTTTGGATCAAATGTCCTATTTGTTAAAGTGCTCGCACAGCACCTTGCGACCGTTAGATCTAGATCGGAGGGTATAAAATTGAAATCGAATTTGAACCGTGGGATCGTGTGGGACATCGAATTAACGGGTGAGATTTCTCGAAGAGCAGCGGGCAAGGAGGCAAATTGCCTATAAGTAGAGGAGCGAACAAGGGTGGCGATCATAAGTTTGAGCTCTCTCGAGTCCCTCTTTCTCTCTCTATATATGCGTATATCTCTGTCTGTACGAGGAGAGACTAACAAAGAAGGGTTTCTTTCTTTCTAGGGTTTCAAACGTCCCTGCCATGCCCACAACTGCTCTGCTCGGAGATGCAGGTTATGAATTGGACTCTCTTGTGAAGCTTCTCTAGGGTTTCCAAGTCTCGACGATTGCATCATTCGTTTCGTTTCAATTTGATTTGTTCTAGCTTCGTGTTTTTTTTGCGTCTCTCAATCGTTCGATCTAGGGTTTAGTTTAGGTCGTGCTCGAATCAGTATTCGTTCTGTTCTTTCTAGTTTCTTCCTTGTTTCCACATCCCCAGGAGCTTCGATCTGAACCGGCGTCAAAGGCGTATCGAGTTCTTGATAGAGAAAGCGAGAGTTTTTAGGGTTTTATAATTGTAATTGTCATTTAGGGGTTGGGGTTGTGAAAATAATAAAATTATCAATTTTTGGTCTCGCTTGGATTGAACATCGAATGTGTCGAGGTTAGGTTTTCTCTGTTTTCGTTATTCTTTTCCTATACTTTCAGTAGCTGCTTCTCATTCGATTATTATTTTATTTTCTGGATTTTTTGTTTCATCAAAATCGAAAATTTTGTATGGGAATTCCTGGTGGACGAATACTGATTGAAAATTAAAATAAAATCTACAATTCAACACCATTTCTTGAGATTTTCTTGTCGGTACGAATTTGTGATCTCGTTTGTGAACGTATAAGAAATTCAAGAATCACAATCACGGTATTAAAGGAACTATGAAATTTATCTGATTCCGAAACAAAACCTAGATATTGGCATTAACCGCAACATTTGGGAAGATTTTTTTTTTTTTTTTAAAGATTGGAATCATCAAGAGTATAAATCTCAAACCTAAGACTTGATATGTGCAGAAATTGGGGGTTAATCTTATGGCACCAACTGTTCCCATAGAGTACATTGGAAGGAGGGAATCAAAAACTTGCTTGCAGAGAAGTGGTGCTCTAATGATGGGAAAAACAAGGAAGTTTTCCAAGGCACATTCTTCTGGTTTTGTTCCCGACTATCGTCATAACGTGGGGACCACCATGGCTGAATCAGAAGGGTTTGGTAGCTCAGGACGAGTTGACATGGAGATGACTGCGTCGGAGGATTCGTATGCTCCCAAAAGGAAATGCATTAGTTTGAATGTGGACACTTACGATCGATTCGGTGTCCCTTTACAAGTTCTGTCACTGTCAAAGCTGTCACAGTCTGAGAGGAAGGACTTAGAGCTGAGGTTGAAAAGTGAACTTGAACAAGTTAGGCTTCTTCAGAAGAAAATTGCTTCTCTGAATTCAAATGCTGTAACTTTGTCGCCTTCTAGTGATATTCGCAGTTGCAGTGATGGACAAAAAAGACCCCTACTAGAGAGTTTCCAAAGGCAAAGGTCATTGGACGTGTCCACTTCACAGGGAAAGAAACGGGCTCCTGGTCGGAATGGGTCACGTGCAAAGCGGCCTAAAGCAGGAGGGCGTTTTGAGTCAGTGAAACAGGAAATGCCACCAAGTACTTCAAATGCTACGTTGATGAAACAGTGTGAGTCCTTGCTGAGTCGGTTAATGTCACATCAGTATGGTTGGGCTTTCAACGCTCCTGTTGATGTAGTTAAGTTGAATATTCCAGATTACTTCGATGTTATAAAGCATCCCATGGATTTGGGGACAGTGAAAAGCAAGTTATTGTCAGGTGAGTATTCGAGTCCATTGGGTTTTGCTGCAGATGTGAAGCTTACTTTCTCCAATGCAATGACTTACAATCCACGTGAAAATGATTTCCATTTCATGGCTGAGACACTCGGTAAATATTTTGAAGTGAGATGGAAATCTATCGAGAAGAAAGTTCCTGTTATCATTGATGCACCAGTGCCTTCAACATCAAGTGTTCATATAGAAACTGAAACTCCTAATCCAATGCCTCCTGCTAAAAAGAAGAAAATCACACCGGTCAACGATGAGGTCAAACAAGAACCTGTGAAGCGTGTCATGACTGATGTGGAGAAGCATAAGCTGAGCACAGAATTGGAGTCTCTATTAGCAGAATTGCCTGAAACCATTATTGACTTTCTCAAAAAGCAAAGTTACAATGAAAATCAAACTGATGAAGATGAGATTGAGATTGACATTGATACTCTAAGTGATGAGACTTTGTTCACATTGCGGAAACTCTTAGATGATTATTTGCTGGATAAACGGAAAAAACAGGGAAGACCTGAACCTTGTGAAGTGGAGGTCTCTCTCTCTCTCTCTTGCCTGTTATTTTGCTTGTGAATCTTCTTCCTTTTAAGCTTTGTGGAGCTCATATTGGATTTGTTTTTTTATCTTTCTGCAGCTTCTCAACGAGTCAGGTTTCAGCAATTCATCTGTGCAACCATGTAAAGGTTATTTTCTATTACACATTCTACTTATAGCAATTGCTGAACTGGTGAACAAATTTGCCACCTAAAAGAGACTTGAATTTAAAATGAAATTATTCTTTTTTAGCATTTCTTTATTAATTTTTTTTTTTTTTTTTTTTTTTTTTTTTTTTCAGGCAATGATCTTGTGGATGAGGATGTAGACATTGGTGGGAATGATCCCCCTATCTCAAGCTACCCCCCAGTAGAGATTGAAAAAGATATAGTCCTTAGAAACAGTAAATGCAATACTTCAAGTAGTTCTAGTAGCGAATCTGGCTCTTCTTCCAGCGGTTAGTATATTTTTTTCCTCGTAAAATTTAATTTTCATTTTATGAGCTTTGGAGCATGTAAAAGGTCAACGTTTATCAACTTTGGAGCATATAAAAGGTCAATGTTTATCTTTGGTGTTTTTCTTTAATATATATATATATATATATATCTTTTAATGCCAAAAAGAGGAGGGGATATTTTGTTAGGAAGCATTTGGTAGAAATTAATTTTATTTATTTATATGTCTTGATTCTAACAAACCCAGGGTTGTACTATTATATTACGTTTGTTTAGAAGCTGCTTGTCTTTACTCTTCCAATTTAATGATGCTTTGGAGTGGTCAATCTATGTTTTATGGACTCTTCCTAAACCTAAATCTTAGGATATTAGGATATGCATTCAAAACTTGGGTATGGGTATGGGTATGGGTATGGGTATGGGGACGTGTTAAACACTTACATGTATTGCATATTGTATATTTTTATTATGTTGTAAGCTAGTTACAAATGTACTTCAAACTATAAGGGATCTAGGCAAAATATAAAATTTATATCTAGCATTCGTGTGGGAAGCTAGAAATGTTTGTTTGCTAACAAATGTGAGTGTTGTCTTCTATAAACATCATATAAATGTGAAGATGGTTGTATCATGGGATGAATAAGTTGTACTATGCTATAATAGATGGGATAAATGATTTAATAGGAAAGGGAGATTATATTTGGTTAGGATGAAATAAAAAGGAGAAATTTTATAATACACACCTTAAAAAAGGTATACCGTATGCCCAGTTACGATCTTTATGGTTTTTGGTTATGACACATCGTAATGTTGGTTATGACTTAGTTAGGACTCATTGTGGTATTGGTTATAACTTAGTTATGACCTCTTGTGGTTGTTAATTTAGTTATGACTGAAGAAGTCTTTGGTTATGACTCATTATAATGTTATGACCTATGTGGTGGTTATTTTGTTTAAGATTGAAGATGTCTTTAGTTATGCTTTAGGTGGTATTTGGTTATAAGCCATTGTGGCCTTTTTAGTTATGATGGAAAGTGATTTGGTTATAATGTACACCTTTTTTTTTTTGGGGGTGTGTAAGGTAGAATGACCCAATAAAAAATAATTTGGAGAGGTCTAATCCTTCTAATACCACAATACCTATGGTATTATTTAGAGATTGTTTGGAATGATCTAAACAAATGCACTTTTTGACTTTTTATAAAATATGAGTTGGGTTTGGTTTGGGTTGGGTTTGAAGTGATGTGTTAAAGAGGTGATGTGACTTAAATAAGATGATGTGACTTAAATAGGATAGTAACTTTTTTAACTTTTTGACTTTTTTCAAACGTGTCAAACCAAGCCTTAATCCCTCCATTTTTCTCTATTTAATCCACGACACTGGTACTAAAATTATCTGGAGTTTAGTACAGCACAAAAGAAACACTAGATTGAACTAGTCTATCAGACCTACATGATTGCCACCTCCAATCTCTTCATCCTTATCTTGCGATCATGTTGGAGCATAGGGGAACGTAAAATTTCACATCGGATAAAGAGTAAAAAAGAGTGGTTAAATACATTAGGCTCTACTTATATGCTTAAGTTTTTAAGTGGATATGAGTTTCAAATAATATAGACTTTTTTTTTTTTTGATCAGCAACAAAAAGATAAATTTTATTAAGGCCCAAGGCCAAAGAGGAGAGGATAAGGCATCCACCACAAAGAAAAATAAAAAAGAAAAAAGAAAAAATACATCCAAAAAGACAACCACACCAAAAGACAACCAAAACTACACAATTATTCAGCACAAACTGACACCCAATTTGAAGCAATAAAAAAAGAGGAATCCCTCGGAACACAAGACTTGCCGAGGCCCAAAAAGACGCCAAATAACACACTCTATCCCATAAATAATCTGTATCCCTAGATCCTCCTTCAAAAATATGCCCATTCCTCTCCAACCAAATGACCCAGGAGATTGCAAAGACTACACTACTCCAAAGAACTTTAGCCCTCTTCGACCTTCCAAAGACTTGAAAATCAAATAATAGCATTTGAGCAAAACCTCTAGGAGCCACCCACTGTACATTGCCCAAACCAAATACCCGATTCCACAAAAGTCCCGCCACCGAACAATACAAAAAAAGATGATCCAAAGATTCTCCACTTTTGCAACACATTATGCACCATTGAGGATTAAGATACCATGAAGGTCGCCTCCTTTGCAATGAATCATTTGTCAAAGTTCCCCCATGAACCAAAATCCACATGAAAACTTTCACTTTAAAAGGAACACATGCCTTCCAGATCTTTTTGTGAAACAAAAACTGAGGTACATGCGGACTATCAATGATTTTTTCTAGAAAGGATTTACAAGTAAAAGAGCCCGACGAATGAATATTCCAAAGCCAGCGATCCTCCAAGATTGGAGACAAAGAAACATTTTCAAGCCTTGACAATAAAGATATCAACTCGGGAACTTCCCTATCATGAAGATTTTGGTAAAAATTAAAATTCCATGAACAAGGAGCCAACGAAGAGACAGCCACGGACGCAATAGAACAATTATGAGATTGAGAAACTCTATACAAAAGAGGATAAGACTCAGCCAAGGACGAAGAACCCACCCAAACATCCTCCCAAAACCTTACCATGTCCCCCCTCTCCACCCTCACAGAAATAAATTGGGACCAAATTGGATAAATATGAGAAATTGACTTCCACGGAGCACGTCCATTACCCCTAGAAACCACCTGAGAGTCCCTACCATTAACATGAAACCCATAGTTACTTTTGATAACTGCATGCCATAATGAACCACGCTCAATTGGGAATCTCCATAACCACTTACCAAGCAAAGCCATGTTTCTAGCCAATATATTACCAACTGCCAAGCCCCCTTTTTCCTTTGGTAATGACACCTTTTCCCATTTCACCAAATGGTCTTTTCTTCCTTCCTTCCTTTCCTTCCCACAGAAAATCCCTCATTTGCTTTTCTATGAATTTTGCTACCTTGACCGGAATCTTGAACAAAGACATGAAATAAATAGGGATCCCACTCAGCACTGTCTTAACCAAAGTGTATCTACCCCCACGGGACAAAAGAGCCCTACTCCACCCATCTAACCTCTTACCTATCCTTTCCACCACTGGATTCCAAAACATTTCGCTTCTTGGGTTACCTCCTAGTGGGAGGCCTAAATACTTCATAGGAAATGTCTCTCAATCCCACAACCAAGTAATTCAGCCACCCTTTCAATCAAACTTGAATCAGCATTAATACCCGTTACCCTACTCTTTTCTAAATTAACCTTAAGCCCTGAAATTGCCCCAAAAAGCCTAACTACTGAAAAAAGGTTTGCCATTTGGCACTCATCCCCCAAAGAGAAGAAAATAGTGTCATCCGCAAATTGCAAATGCGACACACTAACCCTATAGTAAACCTTCAAACAAGCCTACCTCTTTAGCTTTGTCAACCATCCTACCTAACACATCGACAACCAAAATGAATAGAAAAGGAGATAAAGGGTCTCCCTGTCTCAAACCTCGCGAGACCTTAAAACATTTCCCTGGTTTTGCCATTAACTATTACCGACATATTACAAGATGCCAAACAACCCCTAATCCAAGCTCTCTATCTCGCACCATACCCTTTCTTGTTCATCACGAAATCCAAAAAGCGCCAGTCTATATGATCATATGCTTTCTCAAAATCTGCCTTAAACACAATGCCTACCTTTCTCAACTTCCGACACTCCTCTACCACCTCATTTGCCACCAGAACCACATCTAGAATCTGTCTACCTTGCACAAAAGCCCCTTGTGTCTGAGAGATTGTATCTCTTAAAGAACATCTCAACCTTTTTGACAAAACCTTACCCAAAATCTTGTAAAGTGATGTAATCAAACTAATAGGCCTAAATTCTCCCATTCTAATGGCTCCATCCCTCTTAGGAATCAAACAGATAAAGGTGGCATTTCTACATAAATTGACCACCCCTGTCTCATAGAATTCCATGAAAACTCTAACCAGATCCTCTTTCACCACCTCCCAGCAATCTTGAAAAACAGTCATAGAAAAATCATCTGGACCCGGAGCCTTGTCCCTTTCACACTCAAAAATTGCTTCCCGAATCTCATATTCCTCAAAAGGTCGCTCTAACCACATCGCACTCTCTTGATTTATAGGCTACCATTCAAGTCCATCTATCCCAAGCCTGACAATATCTTCTGCCGAAAACAAGTTAGAATAAAAATCAAATATCCCCTGAACTATTTGCTCCTCTCTATCCACCACTACACCTGGCCTTACTTCCAATCGCTTAATGAGTTTCTTCTTCCTTTTCCCATCCACAATTCTATGAAAAATTTTTGAACTAACATCCCCTTTTTTTAGCCATTTCACCTTTGCTTTTTGTGCCCAAAAGATCTGCTCCCTAAGAGTCAACTCTTCCAATTTCAAACCTAACTCCCTCCTCTCACCCCTCAAAGCCTCAATTTCACTCCCTTGCATCTCCAAAGTATCTATCTCCTCAATCCTTCGCAAAACCTGACATTTAGTTGATTCTAAATTCCCAAAAATCTCCCTATTCCACTGTTTCGTATTCTCTTTAATCACTTTCAACTTTCTCATGAATTTATAACCCTCCCACCCCTGATATGTAACAGTATTCCACCACTCCTCAAAGGCCTCTTTAAAAGAAGGATGTTCTAACCACATATTCTCAAATCTAAATGGAGCCGGACCCCACCTAAAAGGATAGCTCTCACACATCATTGGACAATGATCAGATACCAATCTTGGTAATGCCTTCTGCCTGACATAGGGGAAAATCCCCTCCCACCCCAAAGAAAATAAAAATCTATCCAATCGACGACAGACCCGCCTTTCCCTTAAATTTGACCATGTGAATCTGGCATGAAAAAGAGGAGTGTCAACCAACTCGCATCCTCTAATGAAACCATCAAAATCTCTCATACTCCTATTGATAACATTTCCCATTAAGCTTTTCTGAAACCT